GAAGCGCTTTTAGTGGGTTCTTCTGGCTCTGTATTATCTGTGAGAGCTGCTTCGGCGTTAAAATCCTTGGCCATCTTATGCCCATTAGCAGCAGCAAACTTGATGGATTCTGAAACAATAAAGAAGAGATATTATTATAAAAGGATGACGATTTCATAAGAAAGTCGAGACAGGGCGTAACCCTTACAAACCTCAAGTTGACATCCAAATTCAGCTCGGTGTCACAATTAAAACATAATAACATACAAGATAATATCAATTTAAGTCCATGGCAGTACGCGACATATACTTATCCTCCTCATTATTTTCCAACTAAAGTAGACTTAGGCAGTTCTAATTGGCATATAACATCTTCTTTTGATAATACAATTGAGAGTGATATTGAGAAATACGGCAGCAGGACTCAGGCAAACAAATAATACATCCAACAATCGTGCCAAACTATCAACTAACATTCAGGTGTGCTAACTTGCACTGCCAACGACACTACGACAGGGGTACACACGCACACCCATCACTAAGTTCATCTTCTACCTTAGTCAAGCAGACTGTGGTTACTCAGAACTTCATCAGCAGGCTCATTTTGTCCCCTGCGGCAATTCATCAAACATGTTGTGTGTAGTTTAGTGAGTGAATTTCGTGCTAGTTAAAGAATCTCGACACCCTCCCAAATCCACGTGGGAATTCAAGTTTATTGGAAAAGAGCACACCCAACACCACAATTCAGTCATCGCATCACACTGAATTCACCAGCTGACACAAAACTCACACCCAATACGCACACCCCTAAAGAACTAGGGGACTAGGGGGAGAATTGCGGAGAGGAAGAGAGAAGACAGACGAGGAGAAGAGAAGAAGATTGTTACCTGGTCGCGGGTGGCCCAAGTCGAGCGTGGTGGCCGGAGACAGTGCGTGCAGTGGTGAACTTAATGGGAGGAGTTTCGGGGGAGGCAAAAATACCCTTGTACCATGCCCCGTCCTTATAACATTGACTTTCAGGTCCAAATATATCCCTATACTATAAAAACATATTTAAATATACCCCTCGTTATATTTTTGTTCTAAATATATTCTTATCGTTATAATATTGATTTAAATATATACTTCTATTAAGTTTGTCCAAGATGGACATCTAATCGTACGTGACACTAATATTTGATTAAACGGATGCCACATTCAATGTCCCTAACCCATTTTATCCTTCCCATCCTTTTTCACCACTAAAATTTCCTTTCCCCCACAATCATTGTCACTACTGCCGTCACCATGAATAATCATGGCTTCACTGCTGCAAACAATAAGTGTTTATGATTCTCTTTATCCCACATCCTTCCAAGATTATCAATATAAGAGGAATTATTTTTTTTCAAAAAAGAAAAAAAATCTTATATTTCTGAGAAAGGGACTTTATTTAATAAGCTTGAAAAGATAGCTAGAAAATGTAAATATTTACCCAAAAAGAATTTGTTATCTGCAATTTCAAATGCCATGGTGATTGGAAAAAGTATTGAAGGAAAGATATTTGTTATCTGCAATGTAGACGTTGCTGGAAAGCGTCCAATGCTTCGCCACTTTCAATTATATCTTTCACGGCAGACTGATAATATTCTTTCAGCTTTTACAGCATACACGTGTAGTACCAGTGGCGGACTCAGAATTTTATGTAAACGGGTTCAATCTTAAAAGTACATAAGTTTAGTCGTAAAATAATAGTTGTCAAGTGGGTTCAACTAAAATATTTATACAAAATTTATGCAACTTTAATCCTAATATATATA